TACTACTACTACTACTACTACTACTACTACTACTACTACTACTACTACTACTACTACTACTACTACTACTACTACTACTACTACTACTACTACTACTACTACTACTACTACTACTACTACTACTACTACTACTACTACTACTACTACTACTACTACTACTACGACTACTACTACTACTACTACTACTACTACTACTACTACTACTACTACTACTACTACTACTACTACTACTACTACTACTACTACTACTACTATTACTACTACTACTACCACTGGCATTTCGATTCTTACTTCGACTGTACTCCTCCTCCAACTCCTAATCCAATTCCTAGTCCTAGACATAGTTCTACTCCTGTTCCTACTTCTACTCCTACTCCGCCGCCTCATCCTTCGCCATGTATGATCCTGAAGCTTGAAATTTGTAGCAGTTTCACTGGTGGAGGGTGGGTGGTTTCCAATTTATGGCTCTCGCTTTAAAGCCGCGCAGGTTCGTTTAAAAGTTTGCAACATGTTCACGGATGGAGGGCGGGCCGTTTTCAACAAAAAGTGGTTCTCGCTTCAGCGCCGCGCATATTCGTTGAGATTATTGCAAGAGCTTCACGGATGGAGGGCGGTTCATGTTCACAATGTGGTTCTCGCCTTAGCGCCGCGTACACTTTCCTAAACAATGCAACAGGCTTGAGGACCCGCATGGTTAACATTCCAAGCCTGATGTTTTGGCACGATGTAAACTTGCTTGGGCGCAACAGTTACGTGGATTCGTTGTGTTGAAGACCCAGAAATAAGGTTTTGGCACGATTCAGGACCGTCAACACGCAACAATAACAGTGGCTCGCGGCGTTGAAGTCCCAGGATTAATGTTCTAGCACAGTTCAGGATTTCAAGCGGTTGTAGAGGCGTCCCACGGATCACCGGAACGGCCCAGGACCGCTTCAAGAACAGCTCGAGAGGGGCCCCGAGAGCGCCCAAGAGGCCCCGAGGCGGCCTCAAGACGGCTCGGGAGGCTCCCCCAGACGCCCCAGAAGGCCCCCAAGAGGAGGACCCCCGAGAGGGCTTGAGGAGGCAAAAAACACTGATGTTCGCTAAGTTTTGTTTTCCCCCGATTTTCTGGATCCCCCATTTTCGGGCAAAGAGCGGCCCAAGACGGCCCCGACGGCCTGAGAGTTTGCAACCAGACGGCCCAGACGGCCCCCAAAAATCATTTCTAGACGGCCCAAGAAGGTCCCTAAACGGCCCCAGAGGGCCCCAAGACCGCCCAAGATGGCCCCAACACGGCCCGAGAGGGCCCCACAAGGCCCCCAAGGGGGCCTCCAGTAGAGCCCAAGACGGCCAAAGACCAGCATGACAGCCCAGAAGGGCCCCAGGACGGCTCAAAAGGGCCGGAGAGCTGTTCAAAAGTGCCCCGAGAGGACCCCCACGAAGGCCCTGAGAGGCCGCCAACCACGGGCATTTTCGAGGCCTCCAGGAGGCTTGCCAGAGGCTTCCAAGTACATGTGCTCGGGTGTTCGGATGAGGTGTTTGAGTGTTAGTGTTTGGAGTTATGGTGTGCAGGCTTGGGCGTTAGGACTCGGGTGTCCGGGTCAGGGTGCTCGGGTTGGGATGTTCGGATTTCGGTGATTGAGTTCGGGTCGGGATATCAATGTTAATTTGTACGCTACGGTGTTAGGGTTCTGGCGTGCAGATTGGAATCTTCGGCCCCACAAGAGGCCCAAGATGCCCCAAAATAGGGCTCTGGATGTCAAAAATATTTTCGTATAGTTTGTTGATACATTTCAACGTGCTCGCTTTTTCCCGGACGAAAATGGCTCCTCAGGAAGCCCAAAAACGGCCCAAGAAGGCGCCCAGGCTGCCCCAAAGGCTCCGGAAGACGCCTCAAGATGGCCCAAATAATGACAAACCGAATTGTCTTGTGGAGCCCTCCCCCAAAGATGGTCCTGGACACTGCCACAGAGCCCTCAAGACGCCATCAGGACCCCCCAAAGCCCCCCATGACGCCCTCAAAGCTCCCAAAACGCTTTCAAACGCCCCCTACTGGAAGCTTCACAAGCTCTGTAAGAGTTCGATGCGCCATGTGACCCTGTATCCCGATCGACCTCGTGAGTCTCACAACCCCTGCGAGCCCCATGATCCTGATGAGCTCTACGACACCTACGAACTCTATGAGCCAAACGAGCCCCATGAGCCCTATGAGTCCTCTGTGCCCTACGCGTCCTCAAGAGGCCCCCCGAGACCCTTCCCTGTGAGCCCTATGAGCCCCACCAGCCCTACGAGCCCATGAGCTCAATGAGCTCCCGAGCCCTACGACACCTATGAGCTCGACGACCCTTACGAGCCCTTGGAGCCCTACGAACCCTACGACCTCTGTCAGCGCTACGAGCGCCCTCCAAGAGGCCGCTCAGACACCTTCCCTAGGAGCTCACTAGTGACCTTGCTCCCAAGCGTCCAGTGGACGCGGCACCTTCAGCCCAAATGGGCTTGATGGGCCCGTCGAGCCTTGCGAGCACATCGACCTCCTTAGTGCCGCGAGCCC